CAACTACTACTTTATCAACGGTTAAATAAAAACATCCTGACAGCTGTGATGGAGCTCAGGACAACCTGAGAATGCTCTCTGCACTTCACACAGATGGAGGTGTATTACCTCTGTGTGTCTATATGGTCAAAGTTCTATGGAAAGGTTTCTAGGTCCAACCCAGTAAGATTACTGAAGCAACGTTAAAGTGACCAGAGTGTTCATTCAGACATAAAGACGACATGTTAAGTTCACATTCAGATTATTGACAGTTGTGCATTCCTTTAAGGGCCCGCTCTGGCTGTTAGGAGAATTCAGGTCTAAGGCGTTTCACCAGTGGCTTCACCTTTCAGACCCAGAGGACGCGTCGGTCTTTTTACAGTGTGACTGATTTAATCTTGCAGTGTGACTTTGATCATTTCCACTAATGAAATGCTGATGATGTTCACAGAAATGCTGGCTCCCCTATTGAAGGAACATCATGGCAACGTCCTGTTAGCGATGGGATAAAGCTGCCAACCAGCTGCCTTGCCTGTGGGGCTAAAGGTAAATATACAGAGCTGTGATTGTAGTGTTGCAGATCCACCTGAATCCCAGCTCTCAGTCAGCTGACCAGGCGATGTGTGTCTGGCCCAGTGTTACAGGGCTGGTAGAGGAAGTCTCTGTGCTTAGTCTCAGCTGTGCAGGTTCTGTTTTAGAATCTGTTCCGGCTGAGCTGCTGCAGAGCGTGGCCCTTCTAGAGAGTGGCCTGTCCTGATCCAACAGCAGGGTGGGCCTAGTGCAGGGCTGCACACTACAAGTTGAAGGCACAAGCATTGCTATGAGGAGGTTGTAGCCATGTGTTAGACAGGAGGGCAGAACCAAGGAGACGAGCTGATGGTCTGATATCTCGGACTCTATTGAGCCAAATTGTTCAAACTCTGAATGTCAGACTCCATAGCTGGTATAAATATGAACTGGGGAATTGAAGACCTCCAAATAACTATTTAGCTTAGAATGCTGTTTTGTACAATTTCAAAGCCTTTGCAGTGACGAGAGTATGAGGACCTTCATAAACAGTCACAGATGTTTCTAAGAACATTTAGATTATTGACTGAACATTTTCACTTATGATCCTTATCAGTAAACTACTTAATTTTAACAGTTTAGCCGAGAAAAGATTCCAACGTCTTGAAAATATTTTCATCCAAAACAAAATGAGGTTTCATTTGTTTGCCTAAACCAAAGACTCTGCTCAAACTACCAGAATAGCAATGTTAACATTTGAGAAGATGAAGCCAGTGCTGGGTTGTATTTCTGTTTTAAAAATGCAAGTGGCTGCTGATTGTTCTTGTCTTGATGAATGAACGCATTGTGGAAGCTGCCCTGGACACTGAGCATAAACACCTGCGGTTGTGAAAAGGTGTCTGAACAGAGTTTTGCATGGTTGTGTTGCAGGCAGGTGTGACCGAGCTGCTCCCTGACAGTCGTGCTGCAGACGGACTGGAGGTGAGTGTGGTGAGCTACATATGTTCAGATTGAAGCTGCTCCTCTGTATGCTGTGATGAATGAATAATATAACACATCATGCAGACCAAACACCGTGGTGATCTTTAAACCCTGAGCATATCAGTTGGCTGCCAGCACAGATGAGTAGAAGGATTGTGTTTCACTGACTCCTGTTCATTCCTCTACAGCAGCATGTGGAGCCTTTGGCCTGCAGGGGGCAGTAATCGCCTGTACGGAGCTCAGACTGACTGCAGGTATGTTTGGCATGCTGTCACCTTGCATATAGAGAGGATGCAGATGATCATGTGGTGTGTAGAAGCACTGAACCCAATCATGTACTGCCTTGGCAGAGACCTCCTCTCTGCTGAGGAATCTTAACATTGGGAGAGAAACTCAGGACTTTGGCACAGGTTTAAGTAAAATCCGTTTACCAAAACCTGACTGAAGACCTGAAACAGTCTTTCACATTAGTCGTAGTGTATGAACTGTCTCACTCCTGTTTTTGTTTATTTGTTTTATGTTTTTATGTTGACAGTGTAATCCTACCAGGCTGCTCTGGATGAGTGGATGCTTCCCGTCTGTCCACCTGCTGGGATACAACTGAGCGACTCAATCATCAATATATCAGATCATCTCTTCTCAGCCTTACTGAGGCTGAAGCTGCAACTACACATTGTTTTCATGACCTGTAATCCTCTACCTTTATATTTGAAGTATGCGTGAAGTCTGTAGAACTTAAAGAACCCCAAACACTTTCAGATAGTTGGTTTACAAAATCAGACAAATCTTACTTGAAGCTGCTCAAATGTGAAAATAATTACAATTATTTAAGCTGTAAATGGAACGTTTTAATGTTGAAAGTTGGTGCTAAATGTTTCACCTACATTGGAATTAACAGGGGATTAGAAGCTTTAATAAAATGTTTTAAAAAAAAATCTGTTTTATGAGCAAAATTGATCCTGAATTGTGTTTATATGTTTTGAATAAAATTCCATCTTGCTGCACATTAATGTCAGTTTGTTTTCATTTTAGTCAGTTTTTATGCTGATCATAATCCAAGGTTTGCAGAATAAATCTAGTCTTAGTTCTGTCAGCTGAGCCTTTTGGTTCTGACTGAAGATGCTGGCCTTAAACACTGCTCACAGATTTTGTTTTGAAAACCCTCATTAATTTTGACAAACGGCTAGTGATCGTTTAGGACACTTTACTTGGAAAAAGCTCTGTTAGGTCTGTTTAGTGCTCTATTTGTGCAGCACATTGTGTTCGTGGTAATTAGGGATCATCTCAGTGTAACTGGGCCTCAATGTGTTGAATGATTTTTTTTTGGGGGGGGGGGAACTATGAAGCTTTGTAGCACAGAAATAAGACATCAGGCTTTAAGTTGCAGCCATAGTGATTATTTTATTCAGAGTTAAAAACACAGCTTGCTGAGATGACGCACATGCACAGAGACTTATAAAGTGAAATCAGCACCTTTGCTGGTGTGACTGGTAAAAAGTCCAAACTTTGAGATTAAAAGGTAAAAATGATCAGACAAAAAGGCCAACTTTGAGATACATTTCTGACTAAAAAGCCAAATACTGGATAAAAACTAACAAGATTTGACAAACCATTAATATTTCCTGTTTATTCCTTCTTTAACTGGCAGAACTGGGCTTCCCTGTATGGGTATTGTAGGACAGGAAACAGAAAACATCACAAAACGGGAAGAAGTACGAACAAAGTGGACCATTAAAGCAACATTAACCCATTAAAGTCCAGTCTTAAAAAGAGTGTGGAAACCTGGTTCCCAAACACAGAATGCACAGAAAAGATGCTAACTGCTGAGTTGATGCAGAATGTTGATTAGAGCAGAAAAATAACTAAAAGGTCTTAATTGAACATATGGCTTGAAGTGTAGCAGGCTGTTAGCTCAGTTTTATTGAAGGCTTTTTTTCTCAGCCATCTTATTGGGTGTGTAGAACTGGATTGATGTCACACTCTTCCATAGACAGCCATGCTTTTATCGCTTTGAGAGGACTTGGTGCTTGGGCATCCTGTACCCCATCTAAGAAAAGCACAACAGTAATAATAATAACAGCCTCTAGTGGTTACTGTTGCTATGAAGAAGGAAAAAGTCTTCATGCATGACAGAATGCAGAACCCCTCTGGGAGATGGTAATGAGGGGCAGCTCCAACACTGAGGACTCCACCCAGTACCAGCTGGATCACACTCTAAACAAAGTCTTTCGATTTATGAACAGGGTGACGCAATAGCTCACCGGGTTGAGCTGGCATCCCCCCACACCGGGCAACAGTCCCGATGTGGAGGTCGTGAGCTCGAATCCGGCTCACGACTGATGACATTGGGGCTGCAAGGTGGAGCAATTGGTTAGCAGCTAGAAGGTCGCCGGTTCACGTCCCGGTGGGGGCACCGGGATCTTTCTGCGTGGAGTCTCCATGTTCTCCCTGTGCAGCGTGGGTTCTCTCCGGGTTCTCCGGCTTCCTCCCACAGTCCAGAAACATGCTGAGGTTAATTGGTGATTGTAAATTGTCCGTAGGTGTGAATGTGAGTGTGCTTGGTTGTCTGTCTCTAAGTGTAGCCCTGTGATAGACTGGTTACCTGTCCAGGTGAACCTGCCTTCACCCTGAGTCAGCTGGGATAGACTCCAGCCCCCCATGACCCTAGTGAGGATTAAGGTGTAGAGATGATGGATGGATGGATGATTTATGAACAGCCCCAAGTCTCAACCTAGTAGAATAATGACTATTCTATAATTACATAAATAATAATGAAAACAAAATAATGTGTCATTGTGATCAGGCATCAAAGCCTCCAAACTGAGATGATGTCGCTGATCAAACAGGCCAGTGTCCTCTGTTGTAGGGCGTCTGTGTGTCAGTGAGTGGTTAAAGCACTGGTGGTGTCTGGTGGTAGCTGTAGAGTTTACTGGTCACTCGTTGGCTGAATCACTCCGGCAAGACTCAAAGGCTGTGGATAAAAGATGCTTTTTCAAAAAGAAAGAAAGCTGATTTACTTTGCCTGAAGCAGAATTTTTTATATTCATTTTACTGTAAAATAACTTGAAAATGGTGCAACTATCAGATTCAAATCTTCAGATGTGTGGGACGTGCCTTCACCGAAGGTTCTCTGAAGGTTCCCTGAAGATGGCAAAAAAATAAAAATTCTGAATGTTCCCTAAAGGTTAATTTTAAAATTTCACATAATGTTCCTAAAATGTTTAGGGAACCTTAACAGAACAGTTGCTGAAGGTTTTTAGTAAGGTTCACACAAGTAACCCCCAGGGAACACTTCCAACAACATTGAGCAAACTTCAGGGAACATTCACTAAAGTTCCACTAAAGGTTACAAAAAAGTAACGTTGAGCAAACCTTTGAGGAATGTTCCTACAATATTCAGGGGACCTGCAGGAGACCTTAACAGAATGTTCCTTGAAGGTTTAAAAACAAATCTTCAGGGAACCCTAAAGGAACAATCTCTAAAGGTTCACTTAAGATTACTTTTTGTCAATTCAGAGAACATTCCCAGAACATGTAGAAAACCCCTAGTGAACGTTGTCCTGATGATCCTCTTCAGGGAACCCAAATCTCTGCAGGTTCCCTAAAGATGACGATTTGTAACTTCGGAGAACGTTCCCAGAACATTTACAGAACCCCCAGGGAACGTTTCCCTGTTCGCCGCTCAGACCGGGAGCTGACCAGAGCGTCTGCAGCCGGAGCGCAGCCCGTCTGGGGGCTGGTTCTCCGGCGGAGGCGGAGTTCTTCTGGGTGAAGTTAAATCAGAGTTTCTCCGAGAAGAGCTTTAAGAAGTCTTGGAGGAGACAGAGAAGAACGAAGGTAAGCTGCTGTGACTATCTGCTACCAGCCCGCTGGTTTGCAGAGGAACCTTTCACCGGAGCTCCACTAACTGCTGGGTTGGCAGAAACTCAGCGGACGGATGTTTTTATCACGAGTTGCAGCCTCCAGCCAGCTGCTGCAGCCCCGAGCTCCACAAAGACCTGCACCAAACCAACTCCTTTTCTGCTAAATCTGGTAGGAACAGCTGATAATTCCCAGCTCAGTTTGCTGCCTTCCTGTCTGGTTGCTGCAGATCCTTTGTGTTTAACGTGCATTAGAAGTTCGTCGATTCTCCTGAGACTCCATAACGCAGAAAAAAAACGGTCCCGGCTCAGATTCAGCCCACATTTACTGAGTATTCATGTTTATCAAACTCAAAGTGCGCAGTCTTTACTCAACAGGTAACCAGAAAGTGAACAGTGCTGCTGCCTGTCACTTGATCAGAGTTTTGATAGCAGGGCTCATTTGGCTGGTTCTAGTTTATTCGCTGATCCAGCCTCCGTCCTGGTTCCATGTAGCTGTTCAGGTCCAGGAGGATGATCATGGGGAACCGTCTCATGGCTTCTTTCCTCACCCAGCAGCTCTTGCATGTTGGGGGTGAATCAGTGAGCAAGGACGACGCCTTCAGCTTCCTTTTTATCACCAGACTGAACTCGTTGGCTTTCTCAATATTGTTTTGCAAACCCCCTAAAAAAAGAAGAAGTAAACTCAGATTGTCTCACAGATGGAGAAATCTGCCCAGATGCTGGATTGCAAAGCGTGCAGAGCTGACCTGCAGAGTTTCTAACAATCCGCTAAACCAGACGTGTCTCCTTAATCAGAGAAATAACGTTTTGTGAGTTGCATTGTGTTATTTCACTGGTCAGCTTCTGACATCTCTTTCTGAAGCTGAACCTGTGTTCTCTCTCTCTCAGGTGAGCTGTGGTGGGACGTGGTCCTCTCCGTCCGTTGAGCCTGCTGCCATGGCTCGGTACCTGAGGTATTTCACCACTGTGGGCGACGAGCAGCCGGGCCAGTGGGAGGATGAAGAGCTGCACGTGGCCAGTGAGGACCTGAGTCCGGCCACAGGACAGTTTCCAACGACGCTGACCTTCCAGGACTCACTGAAGCGGCTCTACAGCTCTGACCGCTTCCAGGTATGTCACCGTCTGTTCTTCACACCGTCTGTAACCCAAATACACTGACACAGCACAGTGATGGAAAGCAGCAAATGCTCAGCTAAACTCAAACAATATTCAAAATAGACAAGTATGTTCATCTACAGTTGAAACCAGAAGTTTACATCCTCGGTGTTAAA